AGCCATCTGATATGGATAGTGAAGAAGAATCTGACGATGATTCTGAATATTCGGAAGCTTCTGAAGATACTGATAGCGAAGGTATTTTATCCGAAATGATAGTATTTGAATCTTTATAATTTTATTTTCTGATTTTGTTTCATATTTTTTGTTTGATATCTTTTCCAGAAGAAGAATTAGGTAGCTCTGAGGAATCAGGAAAAGATTGGTCGGATTTAGAAAGAGAAGCGGCCGAAGAGGATAAAGAGAGAGGAGACGATCGTTATCGTGACGATTATAGCTCCAGTAAAAAGAAGAAAGCAAACCGAAGACAATCTCCATCTTCTTCGAAAGATAGGTATTGTACATATAAATATGTTTGATATTTTAACATTTTTATTAAACATAGATTTTATAAATAATGTTTCATATTAGGCATAATTCCAAACACAAAAGTTCTTCAAACTCGAAAAGCAAAAACTCGTCCAGTAAAGATAAACGATCATCGGACAAACACAGGTAAATGGTCTATTAGAATATAGTTTAGAAATAGATATTCTTGCCTAAAGTAAACACTTCGTTTGCGAAATTATATCGAGTTTATGCTTTAATAATTAAAGAACGGATCGATCACGGAGTGGGGGTTCACACAAGAAAGGGTCTCCTTCCAAATCATCCAAACACAGGTGATTACCATGATATTTTATATTTTTCGTATTATTAATTGATATTTGTTTGTTTAGTCCTAAAAAGAGTGATAAGCACGATAAACATGATAAGAGTAAATCGTCGCATTCTTCGTCTAACAGTAAGAAACGCTCTCGTGAGGAAAGTTCAGAGAGAAGTAATAGAGGATCTAAAAGATCTAAGTAAGTAATAATTAGTAAAGAGTACTCTTAACACATGATATTAAATATACATTTAATTATTAAATTTTTGCAGGAAGTAAATATGGACAAGATCTGCACATTGAAAAAAGGACACACAAAAAATTATAACAAATACCACATTAATTCCAAGTAAAGCTTTTTTAAGATATAGCGAACAGCTAATTTGTAGAAATAGTACATTTTCTTGCATTGAATCAGCAGAGAGGAAGTGATTCAATTGAAATTATTTTTTGAATTATAATTCTTTTGCCGTTCGAGTATTTTACTTTCGTACATATTAGTTTATTGTAGTATAATACAGAAACTTCACATATAACAGCGATAATTAACATCCTTTGTAATCTATCTTTCTATTAAATATTTCTATATTTGAAATTTTTAATGTACATAACAATCAAATTTTGTACGAAGTCAAAATATGTAGGAATATATGCGTGTTACTATTTTTGTTTAGTATTTTTTCAATTAATTGTCAAAAAAAACATGGTTTCTCCTTTTTTTTATCTATATTTGTGTTTTCTATTGTTATCTATATGTTTTTGATATTAATGTAGTTTCTAAGATTAAATATCTCATTCCATTTATTATCTGATAACCGCACATGCATATACATCTCTTAAGTTTTCCGTAACACATGAGATGTTAAAATAAATGATTTAATGAGGTAAATTTAGAGTACTTCCTTTTCTCAAGAAATGTTAGAAAATCATCTTATGTATAGTTTGTCGTGATATTTTCGAATCGATGAGAGATACTCAAATTTATTATACTGATAAGAAATATAATATAGAATTGCATTAATATAAATATATCTGATAAAATTAATTATAATAAAAAAAATAATATAAATGCAAGATAATGTACTAACAATAATCGCGATTCATCACGGTACATGGGCTCTGATAATTTTTTTCTTGGAGCTTATTAAAAAAATTTGAAATTTTTAGCTACTTTGAAGTGTCATTGGATTTATATACTTAATGTTATTTGAAGAAATAACACATCTTGACTTGTTATATGCTTTAATTATTCAGAAAAATGGAGGTATATTTATGATTTCATTGCGCCCATGCATTATATATACGTTAAAAAACAAAAGAATTGTTGATTCGAAAAGTGAGAAAGGCCGAAACGAATTGAAACTTATTCACAACTCATTTACATAGTTCTCAGATTTGTACCTTAACATAATAAAACTGTTTTTAAGTTATTTAACATTAATGTACAAATGTCATTTGTGATTTTTATATTCCAAAATGTATGTAATGTTGATACATGAAAACGATTGTTTTTATTAAAATGCCCCACTACTCATGAAAAAGATTTTCTATTATTGTACGATAGTATTATAGATTTAGAGAAATAAATGTTAGAGAAATAAATGATCTGAGTACAATGTATGTGCGAGAAATTACAAAAAAAGAACCATTAATCAGTAATTTATTAATAATAACTATTTTCTATTAAGCTTTTGTAACAGGTAGCATAAGATGATCGAACTGTATATTGTTATATAATGAATTTTCTGATAGATTTATCCCATTTACATACGCACGGCTCTGTATATATACATATATATGAAAGAAAGTGAAAGTTCCATAAGAAACATGAATCGAGATCTTCCGCTCTCAATATAGACATGTATTATAATAATGAGACAATAAAATTAGCAGAACAAAAACGGAAAATATGATCTCATAACCCCGTCGTGTATTGATTATGCTGAAATTTGCGATCTAGCTGTGTCATGTAATAAACGGCAGAGCAGAAAAATTACGTTCAATAACACGATGAATAGAAGTGAAAGTACGCTTCTTCGATAAGTAGTTCTGCAACTTTCTCTATGATATATCGCTAGCAGCATACATAATTCAAACTAGAGGGTCCTTACGAGAATACGTGATTAATTTCATGATTTGCAGACTGCACGTTTTGAGGAACGTCAATTTCAATACTTAATCCCTTGTGAAACTGCACATCAATAAAATTATGAAAGAGATGAAGTATTTTATTAGTAAAGTATACTATGTTTATGTTTCTCCACATACCATATTGATAAACTGATTTTCTGTTTATTATTGTGGATTATAATTGCAAGCAGAAGAAGATACGCATATATAAGCTGCTTTTTTTTATACATTTATTTATGAAAAGTAAAAATTCTTTCTATACTGTAAAAAGAATTTTGTAAAATACAAAAGCAAGGTACAAAGAAAACATTTATTTATAAATACTTTTCTACGAGCGTAAGACTTAGAATATGATTATTTTTACACGACGATGACGATATGACGACAATTGTGAGAGAAAGGAATTTAATTTCGACCGATTTGATCGATCTGGGTCTGAAGATTATTCACTACTTCGGGTGGCACGTGCTCGCCCAAAATCTCGAAGAGGTTGATTCTCTGATCTCCAGGAATTGATTCATAAGCGGCCAGTTCGATGCCCTCCTGGACCTTTTGTATGGTTGCATCCTTAGGGATGAGATATGTATTCTGAGCTTGTCGTATCGCTTCATTGCTGAAGATTTGCCCGTCTTTTTGTGGATACGCCATGATCATGCCGGCCAAAAGTAACGTGGCCAAAATTACAGTGTGAAATTCCATCTGGAGACAAATAAAAAACAAGATTATTAAATGGAATTCGCATAACCACCGGTTCGAGAATATAAAATTTAAAGATTTTGAAATATATGGAGATGAAGTTTAGGGAGATGTAAAAATAATTAAAATCCAAATAGAATATATGTACATAATCTGTTTTTATAAAGAGTTTCGCAACTTTATACATAATTCATCAGTCTCGGAATAAAAATTATGAAGTGATTTAAATATTACATCAACATAGAATCGTCATCGTGTAAAATACACGAATAAGATGCCAGTTATTGGAAAGAGTATATCGAAAGTGACGGTGTACATTCTAAAAGCGTTGGTCCGATCTCTCCTTAATGGTCGAGGTCATGAAATTGGAGCAACGTTTGTGGAGTTTTTTGTTGCGTTATAAGTTGTAAGTTATAATAAAAAACTTGCGCCTCGATAAGAAATGACAGATGATAATCCATGATAAATGTTTTTATTTTTGCAGAGATTTATATGCATGATAAATATTGCGTGATATTGCGATTGATATTTATCACTGATAATAACTACAATAATAACTTGAAATCAACAAAAATGTAATATTACGCGAAAATACAATACGTTAAAATTTTTTGCTTATTTTCCATTTCTTTTGCAAAAAACATACACTTCACTCTATAAAAAATTAAAGAAAAGTAAAATTAGATTGGAGACAAGTTTATAATCGAGTAGCAACGAGGTACACAAATTTGATCAAAACGCGTACACAAATTTGATCAAAAACGAAATTTGCTTTTTTTCCCAAACAAAACAACAACGTGAATTTTTTACTATGTAAATTACGGTACTCACGCTGAAAAATGTTGCGTTTTACAATCGGCTACTGCGAAACGAAACTAAACGCGCTACAACGCAGGTTGCTTTTATACCGCAGATGCGTGGTGGCAGAAGAGCGGTGAATGCCACTCCCATCCTCCTCGAGGAAGGCTCACCATCCAGTTGTGTTTCATACTATAACTTTGAACTATACGAGTAATTATTACGAGTAATTATGTATTTCAAAGAATAGGCAAAAAAAATTACAAAGTGTATAACAAAAAAAAGAGATAAAAGAAAAACATAGTATGAAGAAGATATAGACATAAACATCGATACTTTTATTTACATTTCACTTATGTCATACACGGATTGAGACGAGGATAATGTACAAATATGCTCATATTTTATATCCTGTTTAGAATAAAGATTCGTTTTACGAAAAAAATGTTTATATATATATATATTTTTTTTATAATAATTTTTTATGTTACCACGAATAAAAACGTAAGATTTATTATTTATAAATCAAATCAAATTAAAGTAAATATCGTAAAATAGTTGCTATGAAAAATCAACGATGCATATCTTCGAGCCATTTCACTTGGTATGTTCTCGAAGAACGTCATGCGACCTGCTGTGAATATTGGTGCCCCATTGACCAATATACGACAGATTTGCTGTTACCCATATCGGCAGAAGAGTTTCACTTTTATGAATATGTTTCTTCCTTGAATTTTGAAACTATTTCACATATCATAATTGACTACTTTTAATACTGGACGAGCAATATTTTTCTTTACAGCTTTTACGCTTAGAAGCAAAGGAAGAAAGATTTCATACATTACACCAATAAAATAAACTAAAAATTAATAATGGATAAGTATTCTTTATAATTTATAATTTTTTTGTTTTTTTATTATTAATAATCCATATTAAAATAGAAACAAAAGAACTGTAAAGAACTTGCTCTACAAGCTACGAAATAAAGTTTATTGGATTTCTATCGTTTGTAAGATATTTGCATTTAATAATAATTTTCCCATAGGCTTGTCGCAGATATTTCCTTCTTTGAAAATGAATGTTCCCCTGAGAACAGTTGCGACTACTTTTCCAAATAGGACCTTTCCTTGATATGGCGTCAGCTGTAAAGTTGAATATCTTCGGAGACTCGAGAGATCCTTGGTGAGAGTTTTCATTACATTTTCTATATCATTACATTTTCTTTTTAATCAATAACTTATGTCATATTACTTACTTTGTTCTTATGGCAAATGTTGTCTAGCTCGATCTGCGAAAATACGATAATGTTTTAATATTAATATTCACACAGAATCCCGAGTAGAAATGTCTTTAGTAAAAATTGATTATTAACCAAATCTAATCATTTTTTACTAATTAAACTATATTATACTATATTATATTATACAGTAACTATCCAGTAACTAAGTAAAACATTATGTTTATAAAAAATGGTCAAAAAGTAGTTCAAAACTGTCGAGCTAAACAGAAATGCTAGTAAATGCTATAGTTTGTGGTCAGTCAAAATCCGTTTATCTTAGTTGTCATTTCATAGTCAGAAATTAGCAGTGCTGAAATGATTGGTAAGTGCTAATGCTAAGATGAAACAAATGTAACTTTTATTTTATTCAATGAATATTAATTTTGTTCGTTTTCTACACTTTTTTCTTTACATCTAACATTCATATATATTTTGCATTTTTTTTTTAATTTTGAAAAGTA